TAGTGTGTGTGTGTGTGTGTGTGTGTGTGTGTGTGTGTGTGTGTGTGGGTGTGGGTGTGTGCGTGTGTGTGTGTGTGCGCGCCCAGGAGCATGGCCGAGAAGCGGCACAGAAGCCACTGGTACAGGAACATGCCAGGAATTGGAAAGGCTTTTCGTGTGATGAATTCATGCAACACGCGGATTGACTCGCGCTGTGTCGTCGATCGAACGTCTTGGCCACGCGCGAAAATCCGCGAGCGTGGAAACACGCGCGATTGCAGATGAAATCTTCTCCGCAATGCTATCGCAGAAACAACGAGGATGCGAAAAGAGTACGGGAGTTTAATAAAAATAATAATAATAATAATCACGAGTATCTGTTAGAATATATAAGTGAGGGAAGGAAATATTTGCAGCATTGCGTTTATTTTTTTTCGCAATCTATAGCACGATATTTTTTTCTATAAATGAAATGGAGATTTCTTTTTCGAGCTAACCACAACGGAGTCATTTTTCTGCATTGTTCGAGTAAAGTTCGTGGAATTGTCTTGGCATGACGACTACTCTGGACGTCTTCTAGACTTCGATCCCCCAGAGGAACGCGAGTCTGCGAGAATTCGCTGCTGCGGAAAGAAAAAAATGACCGTGCGGCATCACGTGCCGCGTCGCACGAAGTCCACGGTTATTTCTGCGTTTACCGAACGGGTGCTAATTCGTGGAACTTCTATTTTCTCACCTCGATCGAATCGAATTAACACGTTCGGACTCGTGTGTCATTATATATTAATAAACGTGACACATACAAACGCGCAGACACGCACCTTGCGCGATTTTTCTAATACCGAGAACGTTGCCTCACACGCGACGAGAACTTTGGAAATTGCGGAGAGACATTTTTCCAAAGATCGAAGTACAACCGAAGTGCAAAAGCGATCGACGTCATACGATTAGTTATATGAAGTGCATCTTTTTTTACCGTTGCGTATTGATCGAGACTTTTTGCGAATCGCGTGATCGAGATTGGTTTATGTCCGCATTTCTTTAAGGGTCGGCTATCGATGGCCACATCAATTATCTCATTATGACGTCAGTACAAAATTTCGGGGAAACACGAGTGAGCGATTCTCGTAACTTGCGTTCCTCGTAAGATCTTCGTCAGCGAAAGTAGACTTGTAAAAACATGTTAAACACCTTCGGATAAAGAAATGCAGAAATATTGTGTTCTCGAGATTGCCTTACTTTTTTAGAAAGAACTGATCTGAATTTCTTTGATAGTTGCCGCCTTTGACCGTCTCATTTATTCCAACGTGATTTATCAGATAATTTGAGGGACAGTTAACGATGACTCGTGAATTTAAAGTTAATTGAATTTTGTCGCAACGCATTCGGAATCCCTCAAACCTGTTCCACGTTTTTGCAAAAGTATGATGACAGTGCTACGTCCGAGATTGAATAAAATTGATTTGCCAGGATTTGAAGGGACGCACGCCATTCAATTTACGCCGAATACGTGGATTTATCGCTCACATCGCGCAACTAATAAAGACGAAGCCATGATTACAAGACAGGGCGTCGTGCGATGTCGAAGAAAAAGAAGAAAGGTATGCGCGCTCATAATGAACGCACAACTGACCGAAATATATTTATATACTATTTTTATATATGCTTCAAAAGCCATCACTTGAGAAGTGATTGAGAACTCAAAAACAAGAAAAAAAGTTGATATGAACATCCAGAAATTCATTCATTTCCATATTGAATGAGTTATCACTCATTTTCATATTGAAATTTCAAATCAACTTTGCTTTCGAATTTTTTTGTTACAATTTGAAAGAAAAGATAGTTTTTATGAGTTTTATAACATAACTAAAGTTAAATAAAAATTGCTTTAGTGCTACAAGACGTGCAACTGTGAAGCTCTGGTCTCTGCCACGAGATATTAAGCGAGCTGTGTCTCCACGTGGTCTTATATTAAAACATAAAGACCATCTGTTTTTTCAATTTTGACAAAAAATTTCAAAGCTATGCAATTTCAAATTTTTAAATGGCGATAACTCGAAAACGATGCATTTTCGGATATATATCCATATCAACTTTCTTGTTTTTGAATTCTTATTCCCAAGTGACTGACTTCGGCTTACGGAACATCCTTGTATTATTTGTCAAAATCTATTTTTCAAAAATATTATAGTTCCTCACTCGCGGATCAACATTAACAATTCTCTTATTATTATCCGCCATCCATTCCAAAGTTTCACGTGTCAATTCCTCCACCTCACGAAAATTCAAACGAACATGTATGCAATCGGAGAATGCGGACATGCGGACATTCTGCGTCACACCGGCACGTGGACGAGATATAATTTCGCACCGTGGCATCGGGTCGCTTTCCACGTGTGCCCTAAAATTGCCGGTGATCATCCGCTTCTGTATACGTAAGAATGATATCCACCCACATCATCGCGGGCATCGCGGCATTAAGGGACCATCGCAAGTAAATTAAGTAAACAGAGGAAGAGAAGGGACGGGATGAGAGAAGGGCGCGCGTTCCATCCCCTGCACGCGATGGAATGCCCCAGGACGGATGCTGTGAGGGTGTTGAGAACGAGATCAAGAGGCTCGGCCTCGACGACGTAAGAAAAAGTAGACGGCGCTTACTCATTACTCTATGGAAGATTGCAGACTCTATTTCTGTCCGGATCGCACAATTGGGGCAGCTCCGTGGGGTGGTGAGAGGGCGACGATAAACGCGATCGTTGAGGATCGAGCGCGGGGGCGAAGACGGGGTACAAATGGTGGACACCCCGTAGAGAGGTGTATATTAGACGCAGTGCGCCGCGACGCACGGATCAGAAGGACGTCGGACGTCGATCGAGAGATCTGATCGAGAAATAATTCTTGCACGACCGTCGGGAAACCAAGTGTTCGGAAGAGGAATCTAGCCATGGTATGTCTCAGATAATATGTGCACTTTAATAATCTGTGAACGATCGATTCTATTTTTCCCAAGATTTAATTTTGTTTTAATATTTCGTTTCCAAAAAAAAAAAAAATAAATAAAATAAGATATTAGATATTAATTGTTTATGAATAATAATTAAAATTCGCGTTTTTTCCAAACGAACTTTTTGAAAGGAAGAATAAAATCTTCACTCGAGCTTAAAATTGAAAAAATTATTTTGCAAACCCACATTCGTTGACGCATTGTTCGAAGCGGCGTGAGTGAAATTTTACCAAGATCATGGAAAAATCGTGGCACGACGTCGAATTTTCGAGTGATTTAAATGTCTTTAAAGCTAACGACCTCATGATATAGTTTGTGTTACTTCTCTTTTAATATTAGGAATCCAGTATGCTTAGATACTTGCATAACTGAAACAGTTTCTCTACCGGGCATAAGAGACCAGTATTTATAACAGTATTGTGCAGTAGAATTCAAAATTATGCTTGTATGTTTCGTTAGTCGTATAAGTTAGATAGGTTAAACAGATCTTTTCGCATAGCTTATAAATTACTGAATTTATGTAGATCTCGCTAGTTGACGGACACTTAAAATAAGAAGCGGTCAATTAAGTCAATCACGAAAATTAGCTCTGATTTTCTTCGAATGAAGCTCCAGTTATTTGAGAAACGAGAGAAAGGAGGAAGAGGCACACGTGGCGTTCTGCATCTAGATAAATTGTTCTCGCAGATTCAATGCAAGGCGACCGTCTGCATAAACAATTCAGGTCACACATGGTGCAACGTGCGCATTACATGTGAAGAACGATGGCTCACACGCATTATTTTATATTTTACAACGCGAACTACTTATTGCATTCGTTATGAATAAAAAAAAAGTCATTACACGCGCGTACGCCCGTACGATGTCGGTGTTTTTTTATTAATGAATTGTTGTGCGAAGCGCACTTTCCGGTAACCGCGGAGACGATGATCGCTGACGTTGTTACAGCAAACGGTTACGAAACCGGTCGCGCGCGTGTTAATGAGAATTGAATCATGACGAGCCGATAATAAATAATAATCCGGCGCAATCGCCGGACTCGCGTGACTTTTATGCTTTCCCCGCGTGTCCCCCGCTTTCCTGTTATGTCACTACAAAATTATGTCGTGCACGTATGCAGGCCGGGATGTTGGTAAAAATTTTTAAAAGAGTCAAATACATTTAAAGATAATTACGCGTAATGTAATCTTGTTGCCCGAAGAGTGGTTCTGTAATGATAAGACAGGAAGAAAAATCGAGCGGCATAATTAACGAGCCGCATATTTTTATAAGTTTCTACACCGAGTGGGAGAGCACCTTGCTCGAAGTTTTACGCTGTTTTACTCTTTTCAATGATATATAATTAGCAATTTTTTTTTTAACGATATGTAAGCAATACGATGTTTTAACGACGTGTAATGAATGTGAAACTTGGGACGTACTCTGAAAATATTACCATTCACTCAGCAGTTTGCACAATACGCGCGAAGTATCTGATGCCCATGCGCTGCACTTTGCATCAAAACTTTCGACATCGTTATCAGAGATAAAATCTCTTAAGTAAACGGTCTTGGCGCATGCCGATCTTCAATAAACGTGAGGAATATCGATCTTATCGCGAGGCGAGATTTACGTGCGCGAAAAATAAAACACATCGCGTGAAAATACGCGATATGCAATATAAAAGATAAAAAAAATAAATAAACAAAATGTGTACTCTGCGATACAATTGAGTGTAGTAAAGAAAAAAATATTATTTCAAAGAAAAGGGTAGCAGATGTAGATTAAAATTTAAATAATTAGTTTTTATTCGACTAAAATTATTTTTTTTAGTAAAATGTAACAGCTAAAAATTCAGAATGTCATTATGCAAAATGGATACATATTTGAATACATATTTGACTCTTTGGATGGACACTCTTTTTTAATACAAAAAAATCGTAGTTAACAACCATAAAATGATTTAAAATTGGGACGATTATCTTAAGTGAACTAGAAAATTCTGTTTTTCTCTGCAGATAGGACCTTTTTGTATTTTTTTCCCTGTATCCTGTATTTTATTCCTGTGTTTTATCATGTCTCGACCCTCTCGGGAGAAGAATGCATATTTACAGCAGCTTTCGAAGAATCGTTTAAGCGCGAGCACGCGTTGAATTGCTCGGCCGCGATTTAAGCGAATCGCAAAAGTAACGCGTCGCAAACTAGCAGTAAGAAAATGAAATTGCGCGATTCCATTGTCGCTCGCTCGCTCGTCCAGATGACGTAGCCAACGAAATGAGATCGCGTCGACGACGGGCGAGAGGATCGCGCGAGATCGTCGTTAGACTCGATATCAGCACGTCGCGTGACATAAGCGTACGCAAGGAGGGACCAACAAACATTCCCTCGTTTTATAATTTCGAAAAAATATCGAAATATTATTCAATCAAAAAGATTCAATCTTTCATTTCAAATTTTGCTTATAGTTGAAAAGATGAAAATCTAAGTAAAATGAAAATATAATTTATAATTTTTTCCAAAAGATTATTCATTAAAACATTATTTTTGATACATTTCGATATTTTTGATATTTTTTTTTTCTTTTTTTTCGTTTGATTTGTGATGAAAATGAGATTAAGAGTCATCGTTGTGAAATTTGTATCGCGCGTAAAAAATTATATGGGCGCCGATGTCGGTTAAGAAATTTCTCGGTGCGTCCAGCTGTCTGCCCGAAGCCCCGGCTCTCCTAATTGTCCCTTTAATTCGCCTCAATTGCTTCTTGGCACGGTCGCGCGAGAATGATATCGTGAGGAATCCGACGAAAGACTAAGGCACGCCTCTCGCTCGGCTGGTGTGAGACCGTGGTCTTGATTTTCCCGCATCGTTTTACCGTACATTAGCAAGAAAAAAAGCTGCGACCAGTTTCATGCACAAGGTCCTCTTTGAGAACGTCATAGAATCTTGTTTACAAAAATCAAAATAGGCAGGAAGCATAATTTTACATTTCATTATCGCGAATGCGTTATATACGCGAAGCTAAATTATACATGCGTTTTATCTCTTTTTCATTAGGCATAGAATATCTTTATAGAACAATGTTTTACGTTTCTTTATATTTTTAGTAAAAGAAACGATCCGTTGAAACATAAGGGAAAAAGCGAGCAAACCTTTGGATGCGCGCCGAATTAAAATTAACGTTAGATTTCCAGAGTATCTTTAAATGCTACTCGAGAACAGCGTGCAAAACTTGCGGATAGAATGACAAATAGCGTTACGAGACGTTTATTATCTTACGACACAAATAACGACGTAACGCACGTGCCGTTTTCGCGGGGCATCGTATCTCTCTTTGGTGCACGCGCTGCAGAACGACGAGCGAAGTTCTGAATGAAGCGCGGCGGCGTGCGCGCGATAACGCACGAGGTCACGAGACTTTGACTTCGCGGCTGCGGTATCAGCGATTCGACTTCGTCACGACGACGTCATTGCGTTTCGCGTCGGCGTGCTGACGGCGTTGCATCGATACTACATCGACGTTGCATCGATGACGACGGGGCTCGACCGGGGCCGGCCGCATCGTTGTTTCAGATTTTCGCGCGTGATGCACCGCATGATGCATCGCGCGATGATGCTGCGCGGAAGATTATTGCGTTTCGACACCAATCTCGACCGGAATCTCGTTGACGCGAGAGCGAGCCGTTTCGTCGGCACGCGAAAAATGTCGCAGCGATTTAACTCCCTTTCGCAAGACACGTGCGCGGTCGATCAACCGCAGTCGCAGTTTCCGTCGCAGTTTCCGTCGTTCACTTGGGCGGGCCGTTGTTATTACGGTTGTTATTTACGTACAATTTAATGCCATAATGTACGTATGGCATTTCGCTAGCCTGCGAAAACCGGTGCAGCGCGTGCGTTTCGATCGCGTCACGCCGCCGCGCCGGCGGCGAAGTTCAATGTAGGTATGTAAGATACGTTCGAATTAAATCTTATCGAGCGGAATACGGACAGCTGTATTGTGTACATATCCACTCAATCGCTGAAGTAGATTTAGATAGCGGGTAGAATTATGGAAATTATGAGGCGCGAACGCGCGTTTGCTTCGATGACAGAAATGAATCATATAATGAATCATATAATGAAAGGCAATTTTAATGATATACAATATATAATATCAGCATAGATTAGCGGGTAATGCTAGAGTAAAATAAATGCGAGATATAATGAGGGATACAGCGAAATATTATGTCATTTACTTCACTTCACTTCATTTCTGTGTTAATAAAAATATCTTTTTTATATTTCCGCGTTAGTTATAGTTTTTAAAAATGCACGCACGCACGCACGCACATATGTATCTGGTATTTTACGTTTATTTTCTTTTTTTTTATTTTTTTCGCTATTCCATTCGTTTATTAAACTCGAATGATACTTTTCGTCACACTTGAATAAAGGTCAGGAACGTTCAATTGGTCATTCGCATTTCGCATTATACACGTGTTCGTAACACGAGTACGTACTTCGCGTGCGAGATATTCGTAATTCGGGCGTTTTCCACTATTTCAATTTAACAATCGCCGCGCCGAGCCGAGGACCATTAATTGCAATTGCACGTGCGTGTCGCATCGCACGCACGCACGCGATGTCGGGACCGTGGTCTTGATTTCGTTCTGTGCAGTCGAAAGAAACTCCCGTCATTTCTCTCGCCATTACGACGTCATTCTGGCGTGATCTTGACCCGCTGACAGCGGCGTCAACAAATAAAAGATCCAGTTTCGCCTGTAATTTAAACGGTGAGAAAGCACATAGAATTCTTCCCGAGTCTCCTCGTTTGAAAATCACATGGTGCCCATCTGCCGACGTTCCTTCAATCTAGTCTAATTGCAAAATTCTACGAGAAAGAATTCGGGCAGACCCCGCTGACGTAGAGCTGAATAATTGGCCGAATGAGTGGAATCTCTTTGTAAAATACGAGATCGCGTCGCGGAAGT